TTTTTTTTTTTTTTTTTTTAGTATGGGGGTTTGATCTTGGGTCCTTGTGCTTACGAGGCAGGAGGCAGGCAGAACCACTAACCGAATCCTCAGCCCTCTTCTTTTGTTTTTGTTTTGTTTTGTTTTTTTGTGGTACCGGGGATTGAACTCGGGACCTTGTACTTGCGAGGCAGGTAGCAGAGCCACCGAGCTAAATCCCTGGCCTTGTCCTCTTGTTTTTGATGTGACCTTGTGTATGTGGAAGATTAATGCTACGTTACTGTGTATTCTGCCTCTAGAATCTTAACCAGTTTCCCCATTTTTGCCTAAAATGTGCAAGTCTGCTTTTTTTTTTTTTTTTAAAGAAACTGTTTTGTCTTTTGTTATGGACAGAAGTGCAGAGGATGGTCTTTGGGCCCTGTGTGCCTACCACCTACCTATAATCACCAGTCATGATGAATCTAGTTTCACATGTAGTTGTTTTTTCTACCTGTGTTGTTTATTGAAAGTGCAAGATACCATGCCCATGCAACAGGACTGCTTTGAGAGATCGGAACTCTGGTGGTGGTAGTTGTGGGATGTGCTATCATTATTACAGCAAATGTGCTTTTTGCCTTCAGTTTTAACTAATGAAGTCTTAGAAATGAGTCTTAAGAATTAGCAAGGAGACTCTCCCTCACATCCTCAAAAGGAGAGACTGTTCTGTTATAAAACTATTTTAAATACTCTGATGTAAGGTACTTGAGACCTTTTACCAGAAAATCCTTTTTTTTTTCTTGTGTAGTAATATGGCAGCTTGTATGACTGCTATAATTGTTATCAGTTTCTTTTGGTCTCATAACTCTGTTCTTGGAAATATAACTTGGAAATTACTGTTGTGTTCTTTGAAAATAACCTCCCAAAAGTAATCACTGACTGGTTGTTATACTTGATAATTTGACATTCTGGTAAAAATACAATTACTTCTGTGTTCCTAAACGTAATAAATAGTTGTAAACTTGCATGCATATTTGAAAAATAAAAACATCTCTGTTATATTTCTCATTTGCAGAAAATAACTGGAAGGTTTTTAGGCAGAGGTTGCACAGTTGAGGGATATGTACATTGGCTTGGTAAGTGTTGGCAAACATATGGCACACACATCTTTTCCTTAAGACAAAACATGTTAATATATGAGTTGTTGTCCTAAACTAAAACATCAGTATTTGGGTTTAATTGCAGTGTGGGACTTTGTGAAAAGCAGGTTTTGGCTTGTAGTTTGAGCATTCATCTCTAAGAGGTTCTCTGTCACTATCCTAGATACATGAATCCCAAGCCTCAGACCCCTGTGTACTGGGTGCACAGAAACACAGAAAAATCTCAACTCCTAGGTTTTCCCCAGAGATGGCAATTGTTTGGTTATGAGAGAAGCTATGCAGTCTTGTTATCTGACAAGTGTTCTAGGTGCTTCTTGTGGGAATTCAATGCTTCTCAACTTTTAGGAGTGCATCTGAATTATGTGCGGCATCTTCTTAAAAATACAGGTTCTGATTCAGGAGTCTGGGGGGAAATCCAGGATTAACATTTCCAACACACTTCTGGGTAATGATAATGTTGGGTCTGTGGACTACACTTTGAATTGCGGGGAAGATGACCTTGAAGGCCCTTTATACTTGAGTAATGGGACCCAAATTTGGTTGCAAATTTAAAAACGCTGTCAGACTTCCACACAGAAACCAGCCAGATCAGAATGAGGAAATATTGGTCCAGCCACGCAGATTTCAAAAGCTCTCCAGGTAATCCTGATGTCTAGCCATACTTGAAAACTAGGTTCTTAGATGCTGTTCACTTCAGGTATATAACAAAGATCGTTTCCTGTGAATCAGGAGAAGGCAATGACAGTGACATCCAAATCCCAAATGAAGCTGCCTAGAACAAAATGATTGGAAAAAATAAGAGTCAGGTTGTTAACTGACAAAATAAAATTGGATTCCATGATGAAGGTCTTAAATGAATATAGTGTTCAGGGCATAGTATTCCAATGTGGAATGAATTTATAGTCTGTATTCAGATGTCACAGGGCTAGGTTAATAAACTTGTGAAGTGGGTGAAGTTTGTTTCATATAGATACCCATATTAGTTCTCTGAGGCTTCCAACACATTATTCCACTCAGTGGGCTGTTGGTGCACAAGTGTGCATCTTCAGTTCTGCAGGAGAGAGGTCCAAAGTCAGAGTATTGGCAGGATTGGTTTTCTCTTGAGAGCCTCTCCTTGGCATTCAGATAGATTTATTTTTTCGTGTTTTCACATGGTCTTACGCCCTTATCTCTTTTAAGGACATAAGTCATATTGAATTGGGAACCACGCCAATGACCTCAGTTAACTTATTAAAAAACCTTGTCTCCAAATACAGTCATATTCTGAGGAACTGGGGATCAGGACCCCATGTATGGGGATCCTAATTAGGTAGGTAGATGTATGAATGTGTATATGGATGTTTGACTTTGTTAGATAGAGGGGTGACACAGTTTGGTGTGTAACATCTTAAATTATACTCTCTTGACATGTAGTAGTTTGCATATTATAGTAGTTACTTTAGTGAGGCTTATGTTCCAGGCACTGTCATAGAAACCTTATGAGAGTTACTTTGCTGACACTTTACCATACTCCTGTGAGGTAGATGACAATAAACAATATCCCCAGTGAGGGAATAAAATGAGGAAATGCAGTAAAAAGAACTTAGGTAAATCGAGTCAGAGCCAGGTTATAAATCTGGTTCAAGAATTCACGTGTGTAGCTCTTCACTAAAAACAGGAATCGTCCTTAGTTATTATAAGAAATATGTTTGCATTCATTTTCCTCTATTTATAGATGGTTTTTGATACAAAAGTAGCCTTTGGTACAAAGACAGTAAAAAAGCTTGATGCTCAGAGGACCAATAAGATGGGGTAGAAGCATGTGGGTTAGGGGCAGCAGCTCTGGAGCTCCAGCTGATTGTTCACTTGGGCAACATGGGCATCGTGTAGCTGCACCTTCAAGGAGAAGTAGGGAATCAGGACCTTTATGTAGAGTAGCCTAAATATGATGTTTTCAGCTTTCCATTATCCCATGTATGGAGAGTAGAAGGTGATTGCATGCAGCCTCTTTTTTCAGGCCGAAGCCTCCTCTTAGAATTTATGCAGTGCCCTCCTCAGTTACTAATTGGAGGGGCTCCTTTGCTGGATTCAGAGCCTCCATTTTCCAGTACCCACTTTCAAGTGACTCACATTAGTCCATTTTCTGTTATATGATGGAGTACCAAAAGGAAAAGGTTTATTTAGCTCCAGTTTGGGAGTCTGAAAGTCCAAACAGCATGGTACTGGTTCTAGTGTGGACCCCTCTAGCTACATCATCTCTTGGCAGATATCATAGCAGGGGTGCAGGCAAGAGGGAGAGATCCCATCATGAGACAGGAAGCCAGAGAGCCATTCAGGAGTCAGGCTTGGTCTTTTTTTTTTTTTTTTTTATAACAACCCTTTGTGAGAACTAAGCCGAGTCCCACAAGAACTACATCAATTCCTTTTAAGGGGAGTGTCCTCAATGACCTTCTACTAGGCTCCACTCCTTACCATGTTCCCATTGGCTTGAACCGGCAGTGATACATGCAAGACTCCATCAGTCAGTTTGTACCTCCTGGTGGGAGTGGCCCATGCTGCCCAATGGGACAGTCATGCATGTACTGATGGTGTAGAGCCACCTGGCAGAGAGACGTAAGAAAATTATGACCCTGTCATAAATGTGTTAAAGGTCTTACCGCTGCCTACTGTTGTACTTTGGATTTTATTACAAAAGGCCCTCTTCTGATTTCTTGTTAACTGCTGGGCTTTTTGCGAGTGTGCTAGGTTTGCTCCGTGCTATGGATGAAGAAGGATAGAGAGATAAGTGGCTCTGCTGCCCTTGGCTTACCAAAAGTCTCTGAAGTTCTAGCTCTCTTCTTGCACTTTCGGCTTCCTTCCTCCTTCTTGTTTCCTGCAGGGATTTGTAGCAAGGAAAGAAACACTTTGCTCTTTAGATCACCCAAGGAGAAAACTGACAAATTCACCTGCCCTTTTGAATATTTGGAAAAATTTTCCCGTTCTTTTACTCACCCCATCCTCAGCCATGGAAAAACACTGTTACCAATGGATGGGTTCATATTGCTCAGGTGTTGGGGCAACCAAAAAATCTAGAGAGCTCAGGTGATACCCTGTCTGTGCTTTTTTTCTCCCAATTGCCCTTAAAGTATTTGCATCTACTTTTGGAATCTTCTCCAACTATATTTCACTATTCAGGCTCATATCTCACTTCTGCTGATTCACTTTTACTGGAAATCTGGCCTTGTGTTACTTCTGTTTCTCTGCTCCAGATCAGTACCCTCTAACCCAGTGCCCAGCTACCACATATTCAGGGATCAAGGCTTGAATTTCCTCCTTTACCTGCCTCCCATCAACCTGGCCCTCAGAAGAGGTTTGACAGAGACATAACAGCCACCATCTGTGGGACACTTCATGGTTTGCAAAGTACATCCACTCACAGTGTCTTGATTATAACAAGTATCCTACAAGAAGATTCAAAGAAGTAAATGCCCTGACCCAAATCACAAAACCAGTAAGTAGTAGCATTAAAGCTTTCAACTCAGGTCTTCTGGTTCCAGATTCCATCCATCCATCGGACAGTGTACATGTGGCCCAGGGCAGATACTGGCTTTACATACCTAGGCACTCGGCACAGAACCTCTGTTTAACTCTGCACAGCATATGAGCCAGTTAGAGCTGGTATATGATGAGAACCTTCTTTACCATCCCAAACAGCAGCACGCATGCTGTTGGAACTCAATTAGAAGCAGGTCTGACTTGAATCAGAGTGGTAACTAAAGCTCTTTTCAACTGTACCGTTCTAGGGTATGACTGGTTCTGGATACTGCAAGCCTGTATATGGAGA